TAAGGACCTCCTGAAAACGGAAATAGAAAATGAGAGCCCTCAGCCACTCAGACTGAGGCTCATGGGTAATTAGATATAACAATAAAACAGACATATCAATTAATATAACTAGCTTGAAATGAACCTAAATGATGTGTGACAAGCTTCATGTGGAAATAATAACACAGCTGGCATTCGTTTAGAGGTTTTCTCCGGATGATTTGTTTTTGTGCTTGTAGGTGTTCGAATTTCTGCCTTCGCTAGTTTGGATGATAAAAAGCCCTTGCAGAAGAGCATCGTCGGCTTTCTGCAGAGCGGCAAGGCAGACTGCTCCAGTTCTTCCCAAGGGATGCTTCAAAAACTGGGGAATGAGCATCTCTCCGATGCTTACTCCTTCCACACCTCGCCACTTATGTGCCCCCTAGTGGAACAGAAACACCAGAGACAAGAAGACCTTCCCTGGCGGAGTAAGCAGAGGCAGACAGAAGGAAGCCAGGCGACTGTGGGACTCCAGCAGTCTTTCTTTCAAAGGGCTCATGTTAGAAGACTGCAACTCGAGGCAGCTAATGCAGCCACAAAAAATGAGGGGAGCGGGGAAAACGCTCCAGTGATTGCTAACACAGGGACTCCGGCCACAGCAAGCGAAAACAACCATTTACCGCCCGATCTCTCAGAAACTCCCAGTCCTGTACAGGCGCATGCATCCACATCAGCCTGTGAAGAATCAGAAACCCTCACATGTCCCGTGTGCTTCAGAAAGGTGGAAACAACCGACCTGAATGTCTTCAACACGCATATAGACCAATGTCTCAGCAACGCCTCTCAAAAAACAAACGATGGCACAGAGTCAGACACAGAGTCAGAGTCGGATCTAAAGAAGGACCGCGAAGAACGTGCAGCAGTGAACAAGCTGAGGAGGCGGCACGAGGCTCAAGAGAAGAAGTCAAAAGTCAATCCTCAGAAAGGCCAGAGCAGCGTAAAAAAAGATTCCGTTCAAAAGGTTTCGTTGATTAAAGACGACAACAAAACTGCGACCTCGCAAGAGCCTCAGCCATCTAATAGCAAAGGGCCAGTCTTCGTCTGCCCAGTGTGTCAGCTGACCCAGGAGACTCATGACCTCGCTGTCTTCAACTACCACGTTGACCTCTGCCTGAACCAGGAGGTCTTACATGAGCTGGGGAGACAGACATCATCCTCCATAAATCCATCTCCAGTTAAAAATAGCAAGAGCACCGGTAAGTGCGTATATTAAACAAAGGGAACCTCGTTGTGTGTGTATTCTGGAAAAAAATGTTTTTCATTACGATGCATGCAGTCACTACATGCTTCGGCTACATGAAGGTACTAACAGCAACCGTCTTTTCTGACAGAAACTATTCTGTCCTGATGACAGGAGCGATGCTGTTAGCCGAGTCTATAAGCTGTATGACAGCAGAGTTAACAGAAGAAATGTGTATTTGGGAAGGTGTCGGTGGCCTATGACCTTGTTATTTACAGACAGTGACACCATGTGAGACGTTTGTATCGATTCAGACCAGGAAAAGACATCTCATTTCACCCCATGGGGCTCCCTTTGCCCCGGCCTTGGAAATTGCTAAATCACTTTCTCACCTATTCATTTCCTACAATGAACTGCACCCCGGTTTCCTCTTAAACAAGCCTGCCTCAGAAATTGCACTCTTTATATCCCTGGTGCTGCGATTGTGCACCTCCTCAATGGAAGTCATTTTTATGTCCGAGAAAAGACAGCGGGGGATACATTATTTTTTCTGTCCATGCCAATAAGTGTCCCTTTCTGTTTGTAGACGGAGGACATCTTCTGCTAAAGCAAGCAAGCAAAGGCAAAAGCAAAAGGTGAGACGGCTTGTTTACAAATCGCTTCACTGAATGCTGACACGCGATCTCTTCTTGTTCCATTTAGTGTGACTGAAGTAGCATTGAAATTTTATATGTATAAATAAAAAAAAAGTATTCATTGTTGTGTGTTCTTTTTATGATTTAGACGGGACACGCCTTCGTCTCCTCCGTCTAAAAAGGTTAAAAGCCTCGGTCCTTGCAACACCATCGACAAGTTCTTCAGGTGACAGTCATTCAGGGGCGACCTCCGGGCTAGTGCGGATGAACTGAGGAAGTAAAAACGCAGCTCTTCTATTCCCTCGGCTTCCCTGCGCAGTTTTTATTCATCCTGCGGTCACTGCGCACAAAGCTTGTTAAGTTTGCACATAGAAGATGCTCCTAAAACACCTGGCTTGTCTGCTCTAAGCGATATCCAAAATGAAAGATGAAGACAAGTCCAATAATTCCTTTTAATGCATTTTTATTTAATGGTCAGGCTAGATATATATTTTTTATTTATCTTCATTAAGTTATTTTATTATGACATTGTCACATTTGTGTTTTTGTGTCACTTTTAATTGTAGTGTATACCTTTTAATAATGAAGAAAAGATAATTTTTTTTATCATTTAAATTGTTGCAATAAATTATTCTGCTGAAATCTCACTTTTAGGGACATTTTTTTTTTTACACTCAACACTTATCACCTCTCCAACAGCCTGAACTGTAACCAAACAATGAGTGGTTCAAAGTAGTGAGGAAAAAAATGGGTTCTTGCTGTCAGCCATGAAACTGTACCGCTTCAAGTTGTGTAAACGTGACTCGCCGCTTCCTTACACCTACAGTACGTTTGTTTCCTTAGACAAACATGTACTACTACTGAACTCCAACTCCTTTGTTAATCTTTTAACCAGCATTACATAATAGAAATTTAAGTTAGACTATTGGTATAAATTCCTCATGTTACTCGAGCCATAATATAGCCACAGCTGTGCCACTGACTACTCAAAGTGAAATGTGTCATGTTAAATAAACCTGTTACTATCACCGGGGATCTTTAGGGTGTGAGCTAGTAAAGTAAATACGGATCAGCCCTGCGGCACTAAAGTAAGGAGTACACTACCATACACTTCCTTGCTCTTGGCTCTGTGAAGATCAGGACTTTGGATAACACTGGCTTTCTTTACGGGTGTGCGATCTTTTTCCTCTGGAACTGAGGTAGACTGTTTTCAGGATATAACCTATACCGTTTAATACACAAAGCGTGGCTTTGTTGTAAGAGCCTCCAAATGGAAAAAAAAGCTTTGGCTCTGAAGAGGATGATTGAGAAACATTCTCCTAAAAAGGAGAATCTGGACCCTCGAAAGTGGATAAGACCGGAGACTGTGAGGGGATTCAGTGACTTTGCTCTGAACAAGCATTCAAACAAAGAGACGGACAACAGTTTTGATGACGTAGAGATGTGTGAGTATGCAAGAACAGCCAATGATAAAGAGAAAAAAATGTAAAAAGAACAAACAAGCTGTTTTTGTGCTTTATATGATAGAAAAGACATAGAAAGTGTAGTAAATGTAGCAGATTCAAGAACCGAGCCCTTGAGCTTCTAATGTTTGTCACTGAAGTGAGGTGTGACAGTTTCCTTCCAAGGAAAAACACTATTTGCTATGTGGGTGTGTAGGTAGTAATGTTGAAAATCTCACCATCTTAGTTCACTTTACTCTATGTTGTGATATAATCCTGCTATCTAATATGTATTAACACAATTAATTACATTATGTATGAAGAAAGCCATGCATTAAGGCTTGTCTACTGTGTTATGTAGTGCTTGAGGCTGAGAAGGAGTTTATCGAAGCAGCTAAGAGGAACGATGTGGAGACCATGACAGATCTTGGAAAAGGGTTAAATGCCAACGTAAAGAATGTGGTGCGTCTGAAAAGATAAAGTATCTGCATTAGCCAAACAGACCCAATCACTGAATAAACTTTCATTAAACTGATAACATGTTGATTATTTTGTCTTCCTCAGCAAAATAGGACTGCCCTTCACTTTGCAGTAGCTTGCACAAACAAAGAAGCTGTTAAGCTGCTGTTACAGCGAAGGGTCAAAGTGGACCAAAAGGACAAGGTGGGAGGGTTTTAAGATGTTAGATTTGAGCCAAGGACAATATGTTATGTAATGTCTCCAAGTCGGCTACTACCATTTTGTGTTCTGTGTCTGACAGTACGGCGTAGCACCCATTCATTTGGCTGCCTGGTTTGGCAGTTTGGACATCCTGAAATTATTAGTGCAGGCTGGAGCAGAACAGAAGGCTGAGAACGAGGTGAAGTAGAAAGAAGAATTCTCCTCTATTGCTTCTCACTAACCAACAGAGATGAAATACCCTTAAACTGAGAAATTAATCCCATTGGGTTTTTTTTTTGTTTGTTTTCCTTTTAGATTTTGCACAAACACCCTCTCAAAATAACACACTGCTATTCAGATATTTTATTATCTATACTATTTAACCTTTTAATTTTTAGTAACACTTCATAATATAGCCTGCAACTTCTGCTGTAATGTGCCTTAAAGTACTATATACTTTTTCTGAGTTTACTGTGCAACTATACTGTAAATATTTGAAAGCAGTTGGTCAATTCAGAGCGTTTTAAAAAGACAGGACAAAATGTATCCTCTAAGCAATTTTAAATAGTAATGTCCAAAGTTACATTCCAGTTCTATATTGGCTAAAATGTTTATTTTGCATTTGTTTCAGTTTAGCTTCTGTGTTAGTTTTAGCCTTTTAATTACTATTTTATGGAGGGTATATGTCAGAGGCAAGATTTAGGAAAATCAGTACAGGTATTACAATAAAAACAACAAAAGAATTTTGAAAGCAGTTGACTCAGTAGTTAGTCCCCCCCCCATGTAGTTTTGTAATATGTTTATAATAACCTTGGTAATGTCAAACAATATTATTGAGTAGCCTAACGTCCTAATATTGTAATTATTTTTAATATCCACGGTACAGAGGCAGCCCCGACTGCTTGAAGAGTTTGTGTGTGAATCTATGGTCGGCTGCCCTTCCTCAGAAACCCTGATGCCTCTCCCAGAAAACTGAATTTGAATTGCAAAAACTGAGTTTGAGTTATGAGAACTGGATTTTAGTTCTGAGAAACGAAAAGTAATAAAAGTAATATGGAGGTGTGAAGTTTTGATTGATTTTAATTTTGTAAAGTTTCGAAATTCAATTTCACATATATACATTTAAGCTTAATCTGTGTAATTCACATCCATATGTAATTATATGAGTTGAAAAATTCACATCAAATTATAAATAACTAAAATGTAATGTTTAGTGGCACATATTTCTGACAATGCTATAACCATCAAGTATTTTGACGTTCGAATTTAAGTATAATTTGTTTAATTTTAAATATACCCTCTTGTACTCCTGCACCTGTTTGCTAAATTTCAAGGAAATTAAACCACAAGCTACACGTTGTATTTTGTGCATTTTTGCTTTCGTTATACTGTATCTTTTACACTGTGGCTTTCCATTTTCAAATACGGTTCAAGATGAATTTGGTTTGCATTGTAAATTCTCAAACAGCGCCCTGTCTGATTTAACAGAAAAGGTTATTTCTTTGTCTGCTTCAGGAAGGACTCAATATTTTGCACTGTGCTGCCATCAACAACCATACTGAAATCGTAGACTACATTGTAAATGACCTGCAGATGAAAGAACTTGACAAGGATGACCTGGTATGCAACTTGCACAAAACAATTGTGTGGCAAATTTCATTTAAACACTCAGTTTATTTAAATCTAGGATGAAGACTCACCTATTCTCAGCTGCATTTGAATAAAACACCAAATCCACACTTTTAAGCTTAAATTTCAAAACTTACATTTAACTACTGATTTTATCTACTGTTCTGATT